GAGGGAGTCAGTAACATAGCTAAACCTGGAAAAAAAGGCACAATACTCTCACATTGAAGAAATGTGGGTATGTGCAATGCAATATAAGCTGGCACATATTCAAAGAGTAACAACATTACTCTGGGACACGCCCACAGATTTTAAACATTTCAAAAAAGTAAGAGCCTAGGCTTTTTCTTTTGAAAGAGAATGCCTTAATTTGCGTATGAAATGCAGACCTGTTGAATCAAGACAAGATGACGGACTTCCATTTTTTTCCTAAAAAGGATATATTCTTGAGAATTGGAGAAAATGATGACGGTAGAGAGTGGTGTACTTCCAAAATATGAGACCACTTGTGCTTTCATGGGAAGTCTTGATAAGGCCACTCCCTTAGGGGAACATACTTTATCTCAACAGACTTTATCTTTCTACTTGTCATTGGATTCTAAATAAAGGTACAATCTGTTTTTTTTCTTCTTGAACATTTTTCATTACATTCCTTGAATTTTCTAGTCTTTTAGCCTTTAAATACAAAATCTCCAACGGATACAAAGAATAGTGCACCTTAAAGTTGCATCTCTTGTATTTTGTTTTCTGAAAATGTTGTGTGAGTGGCATTTCAAGGTTATACGTCATTGGAAAGGATCAAATGGCAGCATTTGTTAGAGTGAAGAGAGTCAAACCAGATGTAATGTGAATCCTCATCTGCTTCCACTAAACTGAAATAGAATCTAGTTTTGATGTTAATTTGAAGAGCAGCCTGTGAAACATATTTCAAAATTTCAAAACAATGGTAAAATTCCGAATCTGAGATCTGGATAATTTGATATCTGAATTTTACTTCTCCTGAAATAGCTGCTCACTCAGTGAAGCAAATTTAAATGCTCTTTGTTAACACATACATATATTTAATGTACTTCATTAGAAAGTCAGCGGATATTGCTTCTTAAATTCCACAAAGGGCTCTTTTGGTCTAATACGTTATATATGATAATTACAGGCTCCATTAGACTCATGTATCCTTGCAGGCTGCCTTCAGAGTAGTCCACAGGTAACCAGTTCCATTTCCTTTCTCAGTTCCTTTTGCTTTCCTATACTCCACTCCCAGGGACTTTTTTTCTGGCCCTTTTCACAGAGTAAGGCTTAAAGTTGCTGGGATTCCACTGTAACCTGTATCTGTAGCAAATATCTATTGCCAAGTTTTCCACTACAGTAACAACACAGGCACTTCTCTGTGGCTCTTTATCTGATACCTAAAGTGTGCACAGGAGTCCCATTTCTTGACTTGAAATGCAGTGACCAGTGGTTAGGGTTTGTCAGAGGTCACCACTTTCGCTAATTCCTGTAGAATGTCTGATTATCTGTAGCTGAGAGACTAAAGGCATTTAAGAGATGCCTTCTACAGAAACAAACAGTGAAGTTCTTATTAATACCAGACCTCCAGGATACAGAGCCAAGGCTAGAGCTCATGCTGGAGTAGATTACAGTTTTTAAAAAAGTGAACAAAAAACCCACCCCAAACCCAAACAATGGTCTTTGCTCTCCTTTTGTTTGTTTCAAAAGACAGTGAGGTTTGGTTTTGTACTTCACAGTTGCATTAGCACATACTGCAAAACTCTTTCCTGTGTTCTTTCTCTTTTTAATCTTAAGCCTCTCATTCCAGATCTTTCTCTCTCTTTCCTTCATCTGTTCTTTTTCTCTAACTAGTGTATTTGCTTGAATCCAGAATAAACTCAAGTAGCAGGCAGCCTCTTGCCCTCCCAGTCTGTGGCCCCAAATACTCATTTCCCAAGTCTACTCTGCCTTGGTCTGCTTTGCATTTTCATATAGATAGGAGTCAGCATGTGCTTGGCTGAGCATCTCCAGATGCTTTATAGAAAGTGGGATGCTTCTGCCTGTAACCCAACAAGCCACTGCCCAATGGCACCTCCACCCTACAGAGGTAGGTGATGTATCCCACGCTCACAGAAAATGGGCTGGCACCCTGAACCTGCTGCTTTCAGGAGCACAAGGAACTAGCAACATACACTAGCCCCAATAGCAGGGGCTCCCAAGCTGGCTGGGCTAAGTCTTGAGCTTGAGTGTACATTCATATGCAGAGGCTGTTTTCTAAGCTAAATCTCTTGGAAAGTTTTATGGTAAACTGGAGTATGGATTCCCCAGGAGGTAAATTATGTCTTGAATCCCACAGACCTGCCAGTTAGGTCAAGAGGTTTCCTAGGTACAAAATGACTTTGAAATTAAAGTCAAGTGCTTCAGTATAAGCAATCATATGTTTTTCCTTAGCTTATGGTTGCCAGGGCCCTGAGGGCTGCCCCAGCTCATGCTGGTCCTGTCCACCCCAGGGCTCCCCAATCCTGCCCAGGGCCTCATTAATCCCCTGGGGCCATCACCACAACAAACTCACAGTAGGGGTGGTCCCCACTTCTCACAGCCCAGTCCTGCTGGCCATGGGCCCCACTAAGACAGGCCCACTTGCAGACCCATTTCCCAGCCTGGTCTTGGCTTCTGTCTGGGATGGTGGGAAGGGATGGGCTTTCAGGTCCCCAGTGCCCCCAGCTATGGCCCACAGGGTACCTACGGCCCCTCAGTGGTCCGACCGTAGCAATAGAAACAAGTGGCACAGGCTACACGTTGAAGTGAAAGCAAGGTAGTATTTCAGATTGCCTGCACAGAAAAGGGACACATATACGCTGCTCCTGCTAGAAAAAAATCTAACATCACATAAATCCAATTTCTCCTTTTGCTTGCCTTAAATCAATGAGCTCATATTGCTATTCCTTAGAGTCAACAGATATGCCTGGAAAAACTGGTTTCCAAGAGGACTGCCCTTTCTCAGAACTGCACATAGGCACAAGGGAAGATGGAAAGTGCTGCTGGGCTGCTGAGATGCTTATGGGAGGGAGTTTGCCAGAGAAACAGAATTACAGAGTCTGAAGCACAAAGAGTCCTTCAGTTTTCCCAGAGTTCATTCTCAAAATGCCTAATCCATTTGAGAAAAGCATTATCCTAACGTTAGCAATCTAATTTTCTTGTCCCTTCCACCCTCCCTGCCACTTTAATACAATGAATCTACAAGCACAGTTCTTATTCAGATGCTGGATTGCAATATTGTTCTAACAATTCTTAATCCAGATGCTGGATCGAAATATTGCTCTAACAAAAGAAGAAAATGTCTGTCATTGGTGAAAAAAGGCAATGCATGACCAAGATGTGCAAAACTGTACATTCTTGTAGTCTCAAGTAACTCTTCAGTTCTGTAAAATCTTTCTTTAATCTAGGAAAATGCCTTTATACAGTTAGTGAAATATTCCTACTAGCAAGCTACTCTCTGAAAATCTCAAATAACAGCCAGAAGGTTTGCCATATACACATGCACAGGCCATATTCTTCCATAAGCTCTACAGAGAAATCTCACAATTTTTACCTGACTGTCACATTGTAGTACTTTATGTTAAAATCCCCATAAGGAAGATGTACTCGAGCAGAAGGCTTTCCCACAAATGTCTGTCTGTTCCAAACCTCTCCTTGCTTTCCTGCAACCTGTTCTCCTGGGAAGGAGAGCTGCTCAGAAATACTTGCAAGTTTGTTCACCCTCACAATAACAACAGTCCTAATAAGAAGACACATTATCATTGCATACAACTTTGGAAAGCAGCTTCTGGATTTGGTTTAGCCCGTCCATGCACCAGCAGCCTAAATTATAGTGGCCTTGTTATTTCAATACTTGCTATGCATGCTGCTGCTGTGATTTCTGGTAGTAAGATCATCTTAGCTATCTTTGTAGTAAAGACCCAGTCTCAATTCATTAGGATGTGAGGTTGGACCAGATGATCTCCGAGGTCCCTTCAACCAAGGCTTTTTATGATTCTTTTCTATGATCCTAGAGTATTCATGATAAAGAAGTTTAATCTCAAGAAGTAACTTACAGGGTCAGGATTTTTTGCTGAACGAAGACATCCCAGAAAATAAAGGCAGATACTTTAAGTCAGAATTGTGGAACAGCGGAAAGGTGAAAGAGAAGTGAGGTGAGTGAGAGAGAAAGTGAAAGAAGTGAGAATTGTGTTTGTAGAAAGGACCTTGCAAATAAAGACTCTGCATCACATATTTTGTATAAAAAAAACTGTATGCAAAAATACTCAAATTACATCTGCTGGTTTTTTTTTGTTTGTTTGTTTTGTTTGTTTGTTTTTGAAGCCCTATTTGACTTCTGTAAATTTCATTACAGAATAGTCTACACTATGCAGCTTATATTATCTTCAGCAAAATTTTTTTGGCTAAGGCAAAATGTCAAAATCCTGCAAACATATCATGCAGCTGAAATGAATCCCAAATCAGAAGAGATTAAGAGTCAATGTTAAATAAATACATAAAGAACATCGCATGAGTGGAATGCAAAATTGCAAGTGCTTTGATTTCCCTGAGCATTTGAAAAATGGCATGGGGATGGATATGAAGGTTAGATTTTAGATATGAAAGAGAAAAGGAGTATAAATCTGATAACACAGAATCAAAGAAACACTGGAGGAATGACATGATAGTCAGAGAAAATTTAGGTGACATTTGTATACAATTTTAGCTCCCTATTCCTATAGAATTACGCAAAAGAGAATTTATTTATTTATTTATTTATTTCAGTCCTTAAAGCAATAGGATTGCTGAACTCATTTGAGTCAGTATGCTGGCACTGATTTACCTGGACAATTACCAGAATTACATTTTTAGGTCTTGCAATAAAATCCTGCTTCACATCTCTGCCAATGTACGTCTGGCATATTTTTGTCCTGTGCCCAACTGTGCCTGGCTGTCACTATCAGCTTAATTTACCAACCACCTCGTGTTCCACAAATACTAATTAAAAACAACAACAAAAAAAAATAGCAGTAAAGTAATAGCTATGGTTCATACTGGTACTTTGCTGCATTGGCTATAGCAAATAAGCTGCATTGGCTATAGCAAATAAGCAGTGTTCATTGAACTGAAGGACTGCATGGCTCTAAATCATTTAAAACACTTACTTCTTTCACGAACCACTGGCAAAAGGCAGGGCCAATCCACTCTCTTGCATGAATCCCGCAGTCTATCCAGACAGCTTTCTTGTAAGGTCGTGATCTTTTACCTAGCTTGAAGTTTGAATATTCACAGACATATCAATAGATCTTATGACATTAGTGAGACACAGTAATATGAAGATAACAGACTATTGATGATATGCAGGTATGGCCAAGATAGTGAACCTGATCTATGGAAAAACAAACAAACAAGCAAAACATTACAGGAAAAGTGAGATCTATTCTTTATCAAGGAAGGAAATTCTTAACTATCACATGGAACAGGCTGAGGAGAAACAATGCTGCAGGAACACCTTAATGGAGAAACAAATTTTAGGAACTCTTCAACAGTGGATAAAAATTATATTGAAAGTAACTTGTTTAGTACTGTGTTAACACCTTGTCATTCTGTCATCCTAATATTTTGAGTTGAAAGCACACAGTCCTGGACTTTTGTCAATAGCCAAACCAGGTGTGTGTGTGGCATGTGCTGAGAAGGGATCCAGAACCCTCTGGGGTCCCTCTCTGGCATAACTGCTTTACAGAATGGCCACAAAACTTTCCAGCTTCCTTAAATCCAAACCCTGCTAATGGTACCTGCTGTGTGCTAGGTGCATGCATATCAATCCAAGTGAATAGGACAGGGCTTTTGATTTTCCAGCCTAAAACAATTTTTTTTTTTGGTTCATTTAAGGCCAAGTTCAGAGATACACTTAGGACTTGGCAACTCATCCTTTAGGAAACCCTGGTAAATTGCATCTCTGGTACACCTGATATAAGTAACCATCTGCCACTGATCACGGAAAGTAGCCTGATTAACAAGCACTTAATCTTTACCTTAAGTACAAACAGCGGTCTTCCTTCATAGGATTTTCCAACAGAGAACATATGAACAAGATCTGAATGAGTTTTATTCAGATAATACATCCATTCCTCGATCTGCAAATACAGAAGTAAAATTGTTGCTTCAATCTTTGCACATCATGGGAAGTAGCTGTAACTCATTAACCAACCTCAGCTCCCAGTCCTCAGTCCTCAGAATCTTTTTGGATTTTCTTGTAGTTTTTATTTTTGCCTTAGTTGTTTTATTTTTGTTTTCATACTTGAATTACAATTGGGCTCCCATATTTATATTGCCAGAGGCTAAAAGCAGCCTGTACGCTTTTTTTTTTCCTTTTCTTTTTCTCCCCATTTTAGTATTGGAATGCATTAGCTGTTCACCAAGAATCTGGGGATGAAGCTGATCAGGTGCTCCCATTAAATATAAAGAATAGATGGAAGGAGGCCCACGTCCGCTCGCCAAGACACGGGATGGTAAACAGATTCAGTAAGCAAGGAGCACCTGTGGGAGTCAGCATTATTAGTGTTTCACAAGCACCAGATTTCACTGAGGCACAGCAGCTGTGTGCTCAGTTCAGCATCTTAATTTTGGTGCATGCTGAAACTGCGTGAATACACCAAAATCAATAGATTACTTACCAGCTATCTTTCAGGCTGGCATCTTATACATGAGTTTGTATTGAAATGTTTTTAAGGCTTTGGATGCCTCATGCAAATACTTCAACATTTGCTCATATTGCTTACTTAACTCAGTGAGAGCAGTTGCTTACTGAACTCTCTTAATCCATCAGAATCATAGAGTCATAGAATCCTTAACGTTGAAAGGGACCTTTAAAGGTCATCTAGTCCTACTCCCCTGAATGAACAGGGACGTGCACAGCTACCAGGTTGCCCAGGGCCTGATCCAACCTTGCCTTGAATATCTCCGGGGACAGGGCATTAAAAAGTCTATTTTAAAATCAAAACTCAGAAGCTGTCAGAGACAGTTACATGTAAATATATGCCTTGAGTACAAATACATAACAATATACACATGTATTTTAAGAAGGCACCTATTTCTGAAGAGGCATTTAGCACACTTTTGAAGATAGCCAAGCAACTATTGCTTCTACAGAGAGTGAAACTTCAGCCTCATTGAAGACAGAGGTGTAGCAGATACGAGGTGCAATATGAATTTCCACGTACTTCTTCCAGGGAATGATATACTTCATAGTTATATGCAGGTAGAGACCTTCGATGCCTAGATGCCCTCTGTTCTGTTTGGTTTTCTATTGCTTTCTGTAGATCTGATATGAGAATCCTAGGTGAAATAAAAGATAGAGCTTATTCTGAGCAGCCAGTAGAACACACACTCTAAAGCAGAAAAACAGTAACATTTAGAAGAAATACACAGGAGCTAAAACACCCTGATGCTACCTCATCTGTTATATCATGACACTACAGTGCTTCAGGCTTATTTGAATATATGCTGTCACATAAATAGCCTTCTTGCTTTGAATTGTAACAGTGCCTTCAAAAAACACAATGAACTTCTTAAGAGAAAAAAGCAGAATGATGTAAATAATGCAGCCACTGTGAAGAAGAAGCCACTTTCATTTGTTCATGGATCAGCATTTGTTGTCATCTTTTATAATCTAGTTATATGTAACTATGTGTCTTCAAACTTAGATTTGAAAACCATAAAATCATATTTTCAGGCTTAGAATAAAACATGCATACATTTTCTCATGAGCGTTGCACCAGGATGAAACACTACATATACCTGTAAGTTGCAGAGGCAAAAATGGAGACTTTGACAGCATTATTCTGCGAATTGCAACAAATGACAGCAAAGAAAGGGTCTTAAATATGGTTTGTTGTTTGCATTTATCTACTTTGCAATAGTGGTCTGCCAGTTATTTCAAAATAACTTGTGAAAAACATGGAACAGCATTAAGTTAGTGTAACAAATATGCAAATACACCTGCATAATTAGTGGGAGGGTCTTTGCTTTAAGAGTGAAGGCTGAACATTTTCCTGTTTTATTGCAAAACTAAATAATGATGCACATCTAAAAGTATAGTATAGAAAATATCTAAAAATAGAGGGTGGATTGTCTGTCACACAGCAGCAGAAGCTGGGAATACTGTCATTAACAGCAACAGTGGTATCTGTAAAATTGAGGGCACTGCTGGCATTACCACGACCTTTGGAATGAACTCCTAGAGCATGGCAGTGTGTGATTGCTATACCACTTATTCATCGTTCCTGTAAAATGATGCTCACACCTGGCCTTTTAAAATCTTATAGGCGTTAGTTCTATGATCAGAAAGAGATGGAAAGAACCTGCACTCAATTAGCTCCAAAATAAACAGCATAGCAGATCCTCAAAGACAATCAAATCATAGAATCATAGAATGGTTTGGGTTGGAAGGGTCCTTTAAAATCTCCTTTAATCCCCTGCTACAGTCAGGGAAACCTCCCTCTAGACCAGCTTGCTCAAAGTCCCATCCAGCCTGGCCTTGAATGCTTCCAGGGATGGGCCATGCACAACCTCACTGGGCAACCTGCTCCAGTGTCTCACTGCTCTCACAATAAAGAATTTCTTCCTAATATCTAGTGTAGGTTTCTATCTGCATACAAAGCAAAGGTTATTGACATTCTTAAAATGTCACAGGGAAATAACTACATAATCAGGAATTACACTGTTCTACATCATTTTTATTAAGCAAACTAAGGACTTACAGTTTTGACTTACTAACTGCCATACACTTACAAGACCAGTCTGGTAAAACACTAGAACTTGTAATTAGATTAAAGCAGTGGTTTTATTCAAATCATTAGAACATCTAATATGTTAAAGCAATGCTCGCCTGCTGTGCTGACTTCCAATTAATGTCAGCACTTGCCAGGATCGAGCTCTATTTGCTTTTACAATGCTAGATTCAATTTCACAGCTCCCAAATGTCTGTGTGTCTGTACTCCAAATAGTCTTTATTTACTTTAAAACAATTGTGTACTGTGTACTTACAACATCCAGAGGTTCTTAATTTCCTGAGAATTGAACACAACCTAAATGTCAGAGAACTAAAAATTTAGACAACTCGGTGCTGCAAATGTTCACCTGATACCTGCCTTATTTATAGCCATCTTGTTCATAGAATTGTAGAATATTAAGGTTGGAAAAGACCACTAAGATCGTCTAGAGCAACCATCAACTTATCACCACCATACCACTAACCATGACCCTCAGTGCCACATCTACATGGTTCTTGAACACCAAGACCACCACCGTGGGCAGCCTGTTCCAATGCCTCATTTTTTCTTAATATCCAACCTGAATCTACCCTGGAGCAACTTGAGGCCATTATCTCTCATCCTATTTCACCCTGTTGTCATAGAGTCAAGCACTGGGACAGACGGCCTGTCTTTCAGGCCAAGGCTGTTCATCCTCTTCATTATTAGATCTGCTTAATGCTTCCTGTCTTTAGGCACTGGCTGTCCACCCCAGCAGCCTGCCTCCAGCCTCAGCCTACACCTGCTGCTCCTCTCCTGACAAATCCTCCCAGGTCTCACTGAGGCACAGATATCAGGGGTCATGTCAGGACGAGCACATGCACAGCATCCAGGACTTTGCAGGGATTGAAGCTGCGCATCCAATGTCTGGAAACAAGCAAATGTCTTCAAATGGGCAGCAGGGAGATGAAGGGGAAGAGCAAAGATACAGTCTGACCCTAGCAAAATGCTGCCCAGCTTCCTCAAGGGCACATACCTCATGTGCACCAAGTGTCACAGAGGCCCTTTAGAAAGTGAAAGTAGTGTAATTCCTGTGTTTGTAACATAATACAATTTCAGCTAAACTGCCAAGACCCCTAGCTCTAGTAGTTCTTACCTTTTCATGCTCCCTTTTGCAACCTACATAAAGTTCTCCAAGTACGATGGGTATTTTTGACACATAGTAGTTGTCCTTCTGTCATATCATTTATGGGGGTTTACTGTGAGCAGGAACAGATGTGAATGCAGCTGCTGGAGCACCATAATTAAGGGGCTTCTTGTTATAAGCACAGGAAAACAATTACAGAAACCATTATCTCCTTTTTTAAATGTAAACAACCCTGAAGCAGTGTAAAACCCACATGAAAGTAACTCTGACCTTCAGCTACTGGGCCTGTGTAAATAATTACCTTATGTCTGTGTTCGTATTTTTAAAATGACGAATTATTAAGAGACTGGGGGTGTAATAAAAATGTAATTCTGATACCAGCGCATATAACATACAATAAGCTTTGTGCCATTCTCAATGAGAAATAAGTATAAATAGCCTCATGTAGGGCTATATTCAGCAAATGCTGGTGTGAATACAAATAACTCATCAGTTGAGTACCCGTGTACTTCCGCACTGCACTTGAAAAGGCTTTAATGACAAGATCATCACTCGTGTCTAGTGTATCAAATTGATAAATACGTTTGACAAGTACACTTTAAAAACAGTCTCGAATGCTTTTAAGAAACACTGTAAATGATGTGTGATCCTGAACACGTATTTATTCCATATGACTTGAAATGGGTCACTAGGAATGGAGTGTTATATGACAGAACTGGTATGTTCCTCTATAATTCATGAATGCTTACCTCCTCATTTACAGCACACTGTAAACAAGCCTGGCTCCTGCTGAACACAGGGAAAGGCAAAGCAGACTGCAAAATTAGTAATTACCCGTTCTCAATCACAGATGTGATTTCCTATACTTTGAAAACACATAAGCTTGACTCCAAAGGAGGACATTTAATTAAAACTGCCTTCCCGTGGGAGATTTTCTGTTCTTCCATTAAAATGGTTGTTTTCTTGGCAATGTCTATCTGCCTGCCAGTCTAGTTGCTATGTAGAACATATTTTCAAGCGTACTTGGTGTGGTAGATCTGCCTGGGAGGCCAAATCTCTGCAGAGATGCACAGAAAGTGAAGCACAGGCTTACGTGTAGTGGATGTTGGCTTGCTGGAGGTAAGGTAGCAGACTTCGGGACGTGTTCTGTGGCACATGCACATCGATGACCGTACCTTCAGAGATGTGGAAGGTGCTGCTGGGCTGCCACAAGTCCACCTGTAGTGCAGGAACCAACCTGTAATTCATATGTATTCAGTGTAGGTGGGGAAATCCAGGAGATGGGACACTTGAAGCTATGCAGGCAAACACTCTTGGCATAATATAGACAATAAAATCATATTAACTGGTTCTGCTGAACATCTGTGGGGAATGGAGCAAGTTTTGAGGAAAGATTGCCTCCAGCTTGCCAGAATTCTCATGGTAGATTCTCCAATGGGAAAAAAAAATGACTTCAGGGACTCAATGCCTCCTCAAATGGCTCAAAACAAAATCCACCTCCAAATTCTTGCACCTCAACAGACTACTGTATGTTCCCTTTGTATTTCTTCTTGTGGAGTCCAGGATCGTTTTTTAAATTTGTTTTACAAAGTGTTTTATGTGTTCACTAGAGCACTAAAAGATGTGAACACTCAGGAGAGGTAGAAAGTATCACATATACCAGTGTTGTTTGCAAAGTGTGCCCATTTTATTCTTGATAATAAATAGATCAGAGCTCAGTAACATAAAGCCGTCAGTGTTCTGAAGGAAACTGTGATCTACTCAGTAATTTTAAAGAAAGTGACAAAATGACAGGATTGATACAGTGAAATGTTCACAATCTTTTAAAAAACATGCTAGTTACTAACTGACAGCACAGTTACTGTGGAATCTACACTTGAACATACCTAAGGTTTTACTTTCTTCTGTTGAAAAATATGAAATGCACTTGGAAATTTTAGCCCAGAACATGAAATATTTAGCACATCTTGCCTGGTCTTGCTACAAAACTTGGAGAAGAGAGTAAACTCCTGCAAGAGAGAGTTAGTTCCAGCCATGTCTCAGGTGGTAGTAAGAATATTCTGTCAAGAAGGCATCTGACCTGATACTGCCTCTCAAGCAGGAGCATCTTCAGCCCTGTTTAATGCAATTAAATGTCCACTACATTGTAAGGAAAAGATTGAAACACAGCAGCAGCCTCTTCTATTCCTTCCAAAACCTCACTCTTCTTCATGCTGGTGCAATATGGTCTATAGATCTATGCGATCTTGCCAGGTGGGCGCAGCATCTTTTGCAGTCCAAAACCAGGACTGGCAAAATTCTTGAGGCTGGTGAAGCTGACAGCAGCTATGGCAGATGGTCAGTAGAAACTGAACTCATGAATTAAATGGTGCTAAATGTAACTTATAAATAAAGATCCTCTCACTGTGCTAACAGCTTATGTTTGTTAGTCTATCCATCATTTCTATTTTGATTAATTATAGTCATTCAGTGAATTTCCCTCTTAATTCAATAAAGTTTATCTTAAACATGGTAATTAGGACTGTATATTTGAGATTTTCTAAGATTCTAAGATTTTTTCTTAAAAGCACATAGCACAGAGGGTAAAAACCCCATTGCTCTTGGAGTAATAGTCTATCAATCAGCTATGTGTGAACCATCTTTATAAAAATAGCAACACATTTTCATATGCAAACTAAATGCAACTGAAGTGTTTCCTGATATCTACACATACAAATCTGGAAATAAAAATTACAAATATTAAGAAAAAAAAGACAATTGAGATACACCTGAAACTTGTCTGTGTTCTTGATAGTTACTCAGGACTCATTTTGTTGGATTTCTTCACTATCATGGAGGGGATAAGCCAACAACTATTCACACCATTGCTCATAGCATCATGGAGCTTTTTCATTTCTGAGGTATTCTAGCTGTCCTTCAGATTACTGGCTACAAGGGAATATAAAAACCAGAACCAGTTACTTAATTGATGAAATCAGCAGTGCACTGCATGCCTGAATCTGGTGGTGAAAACAATATTTCATTACTAACATTGTCCTGGAAGTGAGACAAAAACATCCCATTTTTAGAATGCAAGCCACTCCTCTTTGACCCAGTTCCCTATTAGGACAGTTTGCTTTCATCTGACTCTCCCTTCGTATGCTTTGCAATGTAAACAAAGTATTGAGCACTCATCTGGGAGATGTTACCTGTGCTATTCAGAGCACCACTTCAATTGCTTTTGTTCTGTAAAGCATATATCAAGAAACACATTTCTCCAACAGACATTTTATTTATGTTACAACTTCCAACTTGTCCTTGACATGGCATGGAGACCATGCATGAAAACAAGACACACAGAAGATGGATTGAAAAGCAGGTATGTCAGAACTGAGCATATCCAATCATCTTTTACTTACTGTCAGTTTTAGGAGACCTCGTCATTGCATCCCCAGTGGGTACTAAGGCCTCTATTGCAGTCATCACTCTTCTTTCAGCATCATTCCTCCATCAAGAGTGCCTCGTATTTCAATTCTGTGTTAGCATATGGCTAGCAAATGGTGTTCTTCTGTTCTTGAACTATCTATGACAGTACGTTGTTGTCTCCACACATTATGCATTACCTATTACGTAGTATTTTGGATGTGTACCAGCTAGTGCTTACAGACATGTATTTTCTCATGGGTGGTGGGATTTGCTGGGTCCTGAGAAGATTCTTCAACTACCAGAACAAGCAGATGCAGAAAGCCTACTGAACTGTCTGAACATGCAGCCAAATATTTGAACATCAAAATTTACCTGGCATCTTGAGACTAGAGAAGAAGAGATGCAAGTTAGAGTATGTCTTCAACCCTAAATATTCTCATTTCATTTGACTGGGACCTTCCAACAGTCTTGTTTCCAAGTCCTCTCCTATCTGTCATGAGTTGCACTTAGAGAGTTGGAGGTTTCAATCCTGCGCAGGTGGGGATTTTCAGCAGGATCAGACTTGGAACCTGCTGCTTCACTCAGTGTGACTCTGAGTGCTCGTTCTCAGGCTCAGTGGTGACTCTGCAGATGCCCACTGAACGCTCTTTCCCAGAATCTCATTGGAGGCGTGAGTGTCACCTTCTATGAACATTTGTGAAAGCATATAGAGAGAAACCTATTCCCAGAGGTTTTTAAATAGTTACTGATTTATTTAACAAAGAAAATACGACACATTATTAACTGTGACTACATAGTAGGTACTCTTTATTAACTTCATATCCTTTTTCCAATGTTACTCATCCCATAGAAGTCCCAAGGATTCATTTTATGCTAAGGAAAGACAATGCTCCTTGGGTTTCATATAGGTAGTTTCTTTTTAACCTGAGGTGTTAAGGATAGCTCAACAGTGTAAATGTATTAGCTTTTATCTGGACAACTTCCAAACTGCAGCAGCCCTGAACCCATTAGCCACATCTTTAGCTCAGCATAACAAAGAAAAGTCAACACCAGCAAAGGGGACAAATATTTGTAGAAGATTTGGGTGCTGAGCTAAGAGAATTCAGAATTTCTTACAGAACTAAAAATTATGCAAATAATTTTCCAATAAGACAAATATTTTCTCACTGTAATCCTATCTGTCATAAATAGTGTACAAATCTTCACTGCTCTGCTGAGACAGAAACCAGAGCAGGGAGCTTTTTCATTACTAATTCCATGTTTCCCTCCAACTACTTCTGTGTCTGTGGAAGGGGAACCAGAGAAGAAAGCAGTCCCCTTATTCTTCCCCACAAACATGACTGCATTAATCCCACATTCCTTTTTTCCCTTTAAGTCACTGAAAGAACTCCCCGACTTCTTCAGATCACAGAACTTAGTATAATAGAAAGTAGTGGATAGTAAAATAAAAAAAACCTAATGCTTTGTATTTAAAGCCATTTTCCTGGGCAGTTGCCTCCAGTTTTCTTCACTACTTGTTCATAATTCTTAAAAATTTTCTTAGTTCCTTCTTTCATTTAGTATGTAAGGACAATGCCTGGTGCTCTCAACTGATTTGTTATCATGTGTAGATCAGAAAAGCTGACTGATGCATGTCATTGAAACTAACTACGGTAATTGCCGTAATTCACATCTACTATTTGGATAAAAGTGTTTACATGATTTATCTCTGTTGTACCTCATAAAGATAGCAATTTTGTTACACTTTTATTACATAGCAACTACAGTTATTGTACTTATTAAGTTGTACAGAGCAAAACAGGTGCCAAAGCAGACCTTAACATCACTATGGAATCTACTTCTAGATTCTTTCGACAACTGTTGTCAAATGTAAGGTTCAGAATACAATTCCTGTTATGATGCCACCAGCTCACATGGCTTTCAACTTCTGATCCTCCTGTGAAAGGGAATTTACAGTCAGTAATGCAAGTATTAATGCTGTCAGGGTGTATAAGTTTTGCATTCGCATCCGTATGTATAGACGTAAACACCCTAAACAGTGCTGAAACTCATTAGATACATTTTCAGTTAAAATACCATAGTAGAAAATAGAGAATAGAAGTGGAAACTGCTCTAGCTTCACAAATGTTGTCAGAAGTCTTACTATCAAAGCTTGATCACATAACACATAAGAAATGGAGTCACGCACATGTGAATACACATGGACATATACGGTGTGCGACAGAATGACATTTTAAACTTCTTCTGGTATACTTGCAAAGAATGAATGAAAGGAGAATGAGTCCTGTTGAATCTGATGTAGGCAGATAATTATAATTGTGCTCTAGTTCACCTGAAAAGACTGCAACTACTCCTCTGTAAATGTAGTCACCCTTACGGATATTTTCAGGATCAAGAATTATTTCATGCCCACATGCCCCTGCCAATTAAGGAACTTTACTGACAGTCCTGACTGCAAATCTCCTTCGGCTTCCCTTTATATGCAACAAACAAGCAAGAGATTCTTTATGCTTTCTAGAAGGACTTACAGGGTAGTCCTGGATGCTGGTGCAAAGTAATTTAAGTTTCTGTTTTAGCACACTAGACATTTAATTGGCTCTAACTTTTCAGTATTTATTTGCTTTTGAGTGAGGCTGCTAAGAATAATAAATCGAGATTGATTCACTGAATTGCAGCAGTCATAATACAGGCAGTAAAAGACTGGGAACAGTCTTTTACTGAGAGGTCTTTTACTGAGTCTTGAGGTCTTGCGTTTTAAGGTATTTCTGAAAGTATAACACAGTAAAGATCTTGCTATTCCATTCACACTGATA